GTAGCGGAATGGCACATCAAAGGGTTTTAAACGTCCATAATGGGACGCTAGAAAAAAAAATTGACCATCCCTGATATGGAATGGACCAAAGAGTGATACTCGATTATTTTCGTGCAGATTGCAGAAAATACTTTGAAACTTTCGAGAGAAAACAATAGGAACGTAAGGAACGTAAGGAACGTAAGGAACGTATATAATTGCCTATAAAAAAAAACCTTGCTCCAAATGTTTGAGATAGGAATCATTAACGAGGGAAATAATGAGAGTAGTCGATATCTGGCGTGGTTCATTTTCAGTATCTTGGTTTACGATCGTGTTCATTTCGCGTAAAACGGGCAATGCGCCGTTAGAACAGCGACATTGGCTTTGTGCTTTCTTTTAGAACGTCAAGTTGCCTCGCCAATCGATATACAGCCAGCAGTGTCGCTTTATCTCACAGTTATATCTTTTGCGAGCAAAACGTGATCTCCATCGGCCGGGAGAGCGGTCGCACTTATTGTCGTTCTAAATTCAACGATTGTAACGTCGAAACGAATTAAAAAAACGCAGAGCTAAGTTATTCCGTTCATATTTCATATTTCTCGAAGACGATGATAACGCATACGTGATTTTCGTCATGATATTGTAATCTCGCCGTAATCACGACGATGTGTGAACGATGGATGAATTCTTATTATCTCACAGATTTTGCTGTAAACGAATTATTATTATTATTATTATTATTATTATGTATTCCGCATCACGTGAAAATGATGTATTTGTGAATTCGAAAAGATTTCAATTTCAATTTTTAAAAGGTAAATTTATTTTACTTTTTTTTCTCGAGAGATAAAATTATTAAATGGAATAAATAAAACTATGTGAAATATTCAGTTTCGTCATTCTGCTATTTTCCCGCTCTTATTGAGAAATTATTAAACGTAGTTAAAAATTTTGTTATATAGAATTATTTCATGACATCGTTCGTTATATTTTAAGAGAGATCCGATCTGACTCAAAGTATCATAGCCTATTTTTGGCTGTATCGCTTGTAATTCTATGTGATAAGAGAAACATTCTATTACTGATAAGCAATCTAGAAAAAAATATTTTATTAATTTTGAAATAAGATCAGAAAAAATTTTGCTAATTAGTGTAATTAATATTGATAATAGATGAATTTTTTGCTAATTTATTACCATTTAAATAACTGGAAATATAGCTAAGTTTATTTCATATTATAAAGAACTTTATGCGATAATTTCGTTATGATGATACATATTATGATGATACATGCAAAAGTTGATGTCTTACCGATAATGGTATTATCACATTATTACATTATTACATTAATGCTGATTATTATATAAATATTCTTTAAATAATATAGCGAAGTAGACTCAGCGATTATTATAGATGGTAATTAAGTTGGACGAGTCATTCCTCGTTTGTACAATAATCTTCATTGAGCAATAAGCGATACGAATCTTAAGATATTCGCGCCTTTTTTTATTTCTTATCAGTTTACAGCGAAACTTTTATTTATCTCATATTAAAATAAGTACAATGATTACTTTTGATGTTAAGATAAATTTAATTCTTAGGAGAATCTTCGATCCAAAATCCATTTTTTTTGAGTAACCAGTTTGAAGCAATGCGCCGATAAATAGAAATATCTTTTTGTATGACATCAGATTCTCGCTCCGGTGCATCCACTTTAAGAATGAGAATGAATCTAGCTACGCTAAATGGCTGATTGCGAATGATAACATCATCGCATCGAAAACACTTTAGTTCCGTGGAAGAGTACAATTGGATGATTCGCTGGAGGCCTCTAATTAAATTTTCCAGTCGACTCCGAGAAGCTTCCAGAGTGATTAATAAAATAGAGCTCGTGCAGGAATGTGCAAGATCATTGTTGCGCGAAGTGTCACGGAGCACGAAGGCGAAAAGCTCCAGAATTATTTCTGGCTAGTTATATCTTATGCGAGAAATTTTTTGTTTCTTAAATGCAAGATACGGACGTTTTTTATTCCCCGATTAAATATCGGAAACTGGATCGCGATGAATCTTCTATCTCTGACATATCGAATGATGAATATTATCAGACTATATTATATTAGCGTTAGAATGTAAATAGATGACCTATTGTCATATTCTGTGTATCGATAACATTTGAACTTGGAAACCGCCCTCTAATATCTTCAATTTCCGTCAAAATCTCCGTCGAAGAGATATTTGAAACTAATTATAATTGAGGTCTTTGTAAAATTCATTATTACGTCATTTTAAATCAAAGCTTACGTGGGATGTCAAATGGAACGCGCTCGTTTTTTGTCGTTCGATATCCTACGATGAAATTATATAACAGAAATAATTACGTAATGAAATCCCCGTTTGTTAAATCTACGTATTATTGATGCTCGATAGAAGCATTATCAGTCATCGATATGGCTTTTTCGTAATCCCAGTTTAAACCGTAATCTCGCATAATACTGCATGATTACAATGTTCTAAATATTGACATGAGGAAAATCTCAAATATTGATAATATATCGAAATGTTATTTTTTTCCACTAATTCTGATAATTAATCTTAGATTATTATTAGAAATGTGCGCGAATCAAGAATTTTTGATGACAAATCGAATTAAATCTGATTATTAAATATTATTTTTAATCAACATAATTGTTCTAAAATCATATGCGCATATGCATGAAAGGGAATACATTTTTATTATACTTGAAAAGACAGCCGCACTATTTTTCTTGGGAAACATGATTTATAAGATTGTCAGTACATATGATTCGTGTTTAAACTTTCTAGACTCGAAATTTTCAAGTAGTTCAGATTCAAATTACAGAGATTCAAATCGAATCTCGTTTGATTCGATTCCTATTCGTGTAGTTAAACATTTCTAATTATCATTATCCAAAATATACAGAACATGATTATCGACCGCAGGAATATTTTTCAATATTCGAAATGTCGATAGCTGCTGTAATAGCTGACACGAAACACGCATTCTCATTAAATAATATTATAGCTCTTAGATTGTAATCTATTTGCCATACTCTCGTGGCAACAGAAGCGCGCGCAGCAGTGAATTATTTATAAATTGCATCGCCGCACAATTTAACGCTCATTTACAAAGTGTTGCAGGCTTTTACGTAAGCCTGACGTTCCCTAATGTCAAGGCGAGGTAAAACTGTGAAACATTTAGTACCGTAAGCAAACCAACCGACTGACCGACCGACCGACCGACCGACCGATCGACCAGTCGGTCGCGCATTTCTCCTGACACGCGTTATTTGTTTGGCGGAACGCCCGTTTTAATGACGCCGATACGCGATCAGAAATGCGCCCGGTAATGCGTTGTGTACCTTATAAATCGCGTGAGTGGCTCGCGTGGTGCGGCAGTCGTTCATTTTCCCTTTAACCGTGGATTCCGCTCCGGCCTTTTCCCGAGCGACTTGATCGCGGCTCGACGGGGTGGTCCTTATCATCGCCAGCGAACCTCCCTACCGCTCGCCATACCCCCGCTGATATTTTCACTAAAATGCCAAGGTAGACGTGTCTTATCTCTCTTTTTTCATTTTATCCACGCATTCTCGAGACAATCTGGCGGTGTGTTGTTATCGGCGATATCGTTCATCGACGACGCGATCGACGCGTCGATTGCATATTTCGATCGCGATTTGTTAATAGATATCTATAATGAGATCATATGCCGCAGATTCGCGGTATATCTGCCACGATAAGCCGATTATCCTCCGCCTGGAGGAGAGATAAATGTATCCTGAACTTACATAAGCGTTCCACCAAGAGTTTCAAGATTCTTGGCAGTAAACCACTGTGTTTATGTCGCGAATACGTCAGCGCCTCTTTAAAGAACAACGCCTTACCTTATGACGTCGATCGGACGTTCATACATTCGCCGAAAAATAAATAATTGCGTGTCGATATTTTGACGGTTTATTATCTCCTTTTTTTCCTTTTATCTCAATCCTCAATCATCGTTGTGCGTTAATAAAATTCATAATCAGACAGCATGTTATTTATTAAAAGAATAACAAACTTTTAAATCTCTTGATATGTTATCGATGTAAGAATGCCTTACCTCGTGATATCGGATCAGATGTTGATATCTTATATATTTGCTGGAGAAATACATTTTTATGTATCGATATTTTAACGATCTGCCTCACCTTTTTTTCCTTTCATCGCAATCCTCAATCACGCTTGCATTATATCCTTGCATACTAATAAAAAATAAAAACAGATATCATTGTTACTTATTAAAATGAAACTCTTTTTTTAAAATAAATGTTTCAGCGAAATGTCTAGTAAATGCATGGACGAGAGTTTAGAAGAAGGTTCCAGGCTGCAACAGCACTACTGTATAACGCTGGGCGTGGGGCCTCTGTGGTGGTCCTGATGTGCCCCATGCCGCATTGTCTGTATCTACAGTCAACACAGAGAGCCGCGGCGTGGGGATCAAGCAGAGTCAGCTCTCTGTGAGCTCCCACATTGTGCAAGTACGTATTTTCCTACACTTAAAGGAAAGCCTCGAGCGCCAGAACGTTAATTTACGACTACGAATATGAAATAACACACATTCCCCTCGACGAGAGCCAAATTCTAATTTTTCTGTATTTTCCTTTGTCCACGACGTATAGGAGGATGAATTGTTGAAAGCTGTGAGAAGCAACGAACCATTGCGTCTAACGTTCACTCTCCACTTGACTGAGAGTACATCCGTCGAGTGGGAGACCGTAGCATGGCGCCGCTGTCTATACATTCGCGTACCAAGCTGCCTTCTGCCCGAAGGATCAAAAGAGGGCTTTGTCTCGCTCCTAGAATACGCCGAGGAAACACTGCGCTGCACCAATATCATTGTCTGCCTTCGCAAAGATAGATCAGACCGAGGTACTTGTCGCTTGCCGTTCTTCGGCACGAACGTCGAAGACTTTTGCGTTGACGAGAAAGACTCACCGTCTAAATCATTCTGTTGTTATGGTCTAGCAATGCTGGTTCGTACCTTCATGTTCTTGGGTTTCACGGTGCTGCCGCCAACTCATGCCTTGGTACCGCCAGGCAGTGATGCTGGCAATCTCTACATGCTCTATGCCATCGAGTAATCGGCAAGCAGTTCTGTCTCTCTCAAATTTAACGCGCAGGTATTGCTCTGAGAGACGAGAGATACTGAGGTTTCTCAGCTCTGCAATTTTTTTATATTACTTTATATTGATTTACTTGATTTACTTATGTAACTAACTCCATTTTCGTTTGCTATTTTCTTCTTACTTTCTCATCAGTTTATATATAATATATAATTTCAAATGTAATTTTTTACATTTTGTTATATTTATTTTCATATTTTATTACAGGTGTCGCCATAGTCAAGTTTAAAAAATTTCCAAAGGGAGGAACAATTAGAAAATTCTATAGAAAAACTGATATTTTTCTTTTATAAATTTTGTTATATATGTATAATTTACGTTCTTATTAACCGTGAAAATTGGAAGATTGGTTTCAAAAGAATTGCCAAAATGATTACACCTTGGCGTTAAATTGAAGAGGCTTGATGAAAAAAACAGAAAAAAATTATAGTCGCGAATACGTAGAACGCGTATATAAAAGGCTTTCAATGGGTATATCGATTCATTCTCTTGAACACAATGTTAATAACTCTTATAAGAGCATATAAGCTGCTGACAAAGCTTCCCACGTGAAAGAATTTGACGGAATCTGTAGTCGCACATTAACAACTGAACACAGCGACAAACTGTCAAATTTTAGAGAAAATTTATTATCGATATATCTCAATGTTAATTGTGGCAGATTGGGTATCACCGCGTTATTCTCCGTAATATATACATATAAGTACATTTTTTGCTTATTAATTTTAAGTATTATTATGTAATCTAGACTTTAATACCTATTGTGCGAGTACCAGTGAAATTTAATAAGTTTCGATTATTTCCGTTCATTTAGCTAGAAGTTCATTAATCATAAAACATGATTAATTGATATTTTTTATGACTGATGTAATTATCTTTCTTTATAGTTTTGTGAAGAACTCAATGCTCTTATTTATGAAGTAAAACAAAATTGCGCAAGTATCGAGTAAAAAAGAATAAAATTTTAATGTCTAAATTCTTTTACTTTTTGTAAAATTTAAATCTGCGAAAAATTTCTATTTTCGATAAAATATGAAAAAAATTGAATACTAGTTAATTTAGGATTTGTTATCATATAAAAAACATAATTTTGTGAGTTAAAACTATAAATTAAAAACATTATAGACCTTAACGTTGAAATAATCAGATATGAGGAATAACACATTTCGCATATATTTTCCTGAAATTACACAAAAATTGAAAGGTACAGGATTATTATAAACTTTATATCACACATTGTGTAAGCTCTATCTTATTGACTTTTTTTTATAATAGTATATGTTTAGGTATAAGTGATAATATATTTCTGGTAATCCCCAATCAGTTAACATTGAAGAGATCTTGCTAATAAATGCGTTCTTTAGTGTTGACTTGATAACAGACAACATGAAAAAAAAATAAAAAATACAAAAAAAGAAAAGAAAAATCAGAAAAAAAACAAAAAAATGTTAATAGCTTATTAGGAATTAGGTAAAGATAAGTACAGAGTGACGGACTATTGTATGTTAACTTCACGCAAATAATTATCAATTTGCCTCAAGTTTTTAAATTGAATTCCGTGCATTTTATCCCGTCAGTTAGTATTATATATTGATACCTTTGACCATACATACACAACACATACACAAAAAGTGAATATGTATGCTACGTTTCTTATTCATACATGAAAACATAATTGCTAAATAAATATTTAATAAAACTCATATATTGTTACTTCATACTTACCCTTACTTATTACTACTTATTACTTCATACTTACCCTTACTTATTACTACTTATTACTTCATACTTACCCTTACTTATTACTTTATTAAGTTTTATTTAAGCAAATGTCGAAATTTACGTGATAAAATAAAATATAGTATACACACACACACACTACGTTTTTTAGCGCGTATGGTTTTGCGAGTTAGTGCGAGGCTCGTAAGATGCTCGTAAGTCAGAGTCCCCGATTCGAATTCCGATTCTGATCGATAGTATTTACAAAGCAACGGTTCTCCTCTACAAAGGTCTAGCAAACTGCCTAGAGTAACTCTGCCGAAAAAAAGCCCTGTATTAACCGTTCGAAATCGGCGTAAAACTATATATAGGCCCCTATATATCCGTATTAACACGTGCACCATGAATATATGCAAGGATACCCGAACGGCGACGCAAGGTACCAAGAAAACCGGATATATATATATGTATGTATAGCGTTTTTATTTAATACAAAAACTTTATGCTCAAAATGGATAATTGAAATACATTTGATTATGCTATTGAAGTTACATAATGATTTCTAACATAATGAAATTAAATCTTTAAATTTATATATGCTCTAAAATTAAAAATTAAATGAGTATAAAGCATTTATGTTATATATCATTTTTATGCGCAAACAACATTGCTGCAAATGTTGAAATTTGCTAATATACAATTTTATTACTATTAATATACAAAAAATTTAATAATTAATTGTCTTGTTTAATTATATTAAATTGAGTAGTATTTTGATCTGTTATATCTGAACAAAAATTAGAAATGAAAAATTATATTTATTATCGTATCATTTATATTTCTCATTGTTATTTATTGGATCAAGCTCTGGTTCAAACACTACAGCATCGAAAAAAATATTTAAATCTTATGCTCTCATATAAAAAAAGCCACGTGTTACATATATTTATCTATATTTTATAATTTTATATCTATATATCACACATATATAATTACTATTGTATTCACATTATAATAGTAATTATATATCTCATTTTTATGTCACATTTAATTGCGTAAATTGGATTTCCCATTCGTATCAGCTTCCTGTAATCAATTTAAAGAATGAGAATTTTAGAAATAAAAAATTATAGATAAAAGTATGTCATACCTCAGACGCGGTTCTTGGAACTAATCCTAAACTATCAAGCATTCCAGATGGTGCTGATTCTTCGACGGGACGTGCCGACATTTTTTTACATTTTATCAAGTGTTTTGCTGCAATATCACAACAATTAAATAATTAAAATTAATATTTACGTTGATAATACCGAATATGTAATATCTTTTTTTAACTATACCTAATCGATTACCATCGTTTGACATGTAACCACATTCGCATTGTAATTTCTTTTCTAATGGGATGTTAACCAAGGGAGACGGCACAATCAAACTAATCTTCGGTCTTTCATTATGAATTTGTTGTTGATGTTCTTGGAATGCACGCCAACAACAAGTAACATAACGGCATTGTTGACATCGTTGTTCTCCTCTGTGTTAAATAAATGATTTACACATCCGCATGTTGATATAAAACAATGTACTTACGGATAGTGTTCATCTTCTTCAATGTCTTCTTCGCATTCCTGGCACGATAGATGTCTGGTGAAAGTGTTTACTGTAATTGGACCTGTACTCCATTTTTGTATTTTGTCATCCAATGGTAATTCAGGTGGTGGACTATCTACAGAAAATTGTACAACTTCTGGTATGCGATTCGAGATCATTATGCCATTGTTTCCAGCAGAATATGGTATTGCCTCTGTAAATATTCATTTTGTTATTAAACAATCAAAATAATGATTTTTACGTTTGATATATACGACAGTAATAATTATAATATAAGGTAATTTAAAGTACATTAAAAAAAAATAATACAAACGATATGAAATAAACATAGAAGTTAAATTTTGATTAATTTGTCACTTAAATTTTCGTTAATCAATTCGTTAAATAAAATATAAAGAATCTTATTTTGTTTTTGATATCCTATGGAATTCTATCATATTCTGATATACATAAAAATGATATATATTGTTTAAATATTTACTTGTATGAGCAACACAGTCATGTAACTCTCGTTGGTGCATTGTTAGCGTACTCTTTTGATTAAACCAGAGACAACATCTTGAACACTTGTTGCCTTTTCCTTGATCTCTTCTTACAATGTGCCTTTGCATGTGTGATAAGTAAGCATAAACGTTGGATGCATTTGGGTTGCCCTCGCTCACAAATTGTATTACCTTTTTATAATAGTAAAGTTCAATTAATTTACATGGAAATTTAAATCATATTAGTTTTTCATACCTTGAGGCAGTACGGACATTGTAATCCCTCGCCCTTCTCGTGAGTTTCATAATAATGATCTATAACGTCCTTATGACTGGATGTACGATAGCCACAACTTTCACATTGATACGGCATCTCGGAAGGATAATGCATTAATGTCAAATGATCGATCAATGATTTGCTCTTTCCTGAACAAAAAACATACAAATGTGATTATCTCGCATTATACCCAACGTCTTATTTATTTTCTTAAATATTTTATTTTTATTTTCTTAATTAATTAATTACGCTATTGTGCTACAAGACCGATTAAAAAATGTTTGCTTACCAAATTTCTCTTCGCAGATAGCACAAACTACCATGAGATTATCAGAATGACCGAAATTGCTATGGGTTTCCGATACATGGGTAAGCATTTGATGCTGCGATGAAAGTGGAGTGCAACAGTACCGGCATACCGATAATTCCGATTGACCTGGTAGTTGTGGTGGTACGTGACTGATCATATGCTCCATCACTTCGGTATTTGATCTCATTACTGTCGTACAAAGGAAGCACTAAACAAAAAAAAATATATATATATATTTATTGGACATTATAAAATACATTAACAGTATGGCAAGTATAAAAGTTCTAAACAAACTTTGAAATATAAAGAAGCTTTGGGTTCCTTCAAAATTATATTCTTATTGCCTTCCATTGTAGCATAATATAATTCTTGAAGTTGAATTTGATCTTTTGGTTCCTTATCGTTTTTATCTTCTTTTTCTTTATTACTTTTAATCTCAATTGCTGGTCTTTTTATTTCAGGTTCCGAAGTTGTCGCGGGATAAACGCGCTTCCTTCCTCGTCGCAAACCAGGTTTCACTGTAGGAACTTCGGGAACTTTTGAAGATAATGTTGCATCAGTTGTGGATTCTGAGGTTGAATCTTTCTGATTCGTTACTACTGTTGCATTGGGTAACGAATCAGAATAAGACCAATCATGAAATGGATTAGCAGCTATTCTCGACAAGCGGTCCAATAAACATTCATCTAAAAAAATATACGGCCTTTTTGATGACGTAGAACGAAATATGGACACATTTAGGAATTATATTCTAATCGGTGATGTGATTAATGATATTTTTCTACTCACTGTATTCAAGTCTAGTTTGTTCTGCAATATGTCGAATGATATTGTCAAATGCACGTTCCGATGTACCGCCATACATTTCTCTCCATATTAATTCGTCTAAAAACTGTTGTATCATTTGTCTACTAAGCAAACTCAATGTGTTCTGGAACATTCTTGGTACAATTTTTCTAAGATACTCCATGATATGATAATTGCTCATGAGATTTCTGGAATTCTGCTCTGCGAGCACAGACTGTGTAACATGGATATAACCCATTTCATGCAAAGTATTTTTGTCAACGGTAAAGTCGGTCATTATCTTAGAGTCTGTATGGACCCATTCTTTCAATGGTTGTAAAATGCTGTTAAATCGTCTTTTACACGATGTCCTATATCCTTCCTGCGACGGTTCCCAGGCACGTAATCGTAAATCCATTGTAGTAGGATCTAGAACACCGAGAACCTCGACTTTCACCTAAACGAGAGCCAAATTCACATTATTATACAAGTAATCTCTTTTTTCAGTTAGTTGAGAATATCAACACATATCTTACTTGTCGCATCTGTCCGTCTTGCGATGTCGTACCTAGACTGATCACACCGACCTGTATCACCGAATTTTTACCGCCCATCTTACGACACTTGTCCCATATTGCCGCTGTACAAATGCTACGTAGATTTGTATAAAAGTTTTTCAGATATAGATTAGACACTTTCACCCAGGAAACTACATTTTGCACGTTAGTTTGGCATGCCCAATGATAAATTAATTTTAATAAAACTGTAGGTGTATAATGAGCTCCTTGGAAAATAGAACCTGAGAAGACAGAGACAAATCTGTCAGGACAACAATTGGATATCCAAACATATCCACCGGAGTAGGGAAATGTTCCCTGATCGCTATACATTCCTAACTTGAGTTTGGGACTCGGAAAATTTGCATTGTGCTGTGAACAATATTGTTGTGATTTTACTAAACCTTGTTGTATCAACCATTCGGCGAATTTCGTGGCAGAAAACATGAGCACGTTCTTAACTTTGGCATCTGAAAAATTTCAGTCGTTAATACATGTTTGACATTATATTATTGATAAAAAAATAAAGTAGAACCTAATGCTTGTCTTTCTTTTTGTGCAACTTGTGATGGAATATCCTTGTTTCGTAAATTTGGCCTTGCTATTACGACTAAGGATGGATAAGTTCGGCCACCATTCGTTTTGTTGAACATAAATTCTCTACTATCAGGCTGATTTTTATTGATTTCATCAATATGTTCACTAGCTGAAAGGTAGATACTTCATATTGAGTAAAATTAAATATTCAAGCTATCAACGTTTATAAAAATAATATTACATTGTTTCTGGTTTTAACCTGTATTTTTGTAGCCGATGGCTATTCCACCTATGCTAGTGTGTTCCGTAGGCTTGATAGTTGATTGAGTTACTGTCTGTTTATTAGGAGTCTTTATTCTGAGATTTATCGTTTGTTGTTGAGAAGAAGTGGTAGCTAAGGAATCGATAAAAAATAGTTTTATTAATTGTAAAACTCTGGATCTTGGCTTTCTTTTCCTTCTCTCCTATGGAATGCCTTAATTTAGAAAATGTGATTATTCTTACGTGTTGTAACATGTGTTGCGGGCACAGGCTTGGATTTTACACGAGTAACGGGCGCAGACTATAAAAATAAAACGTGTACATTTACTAATAAGAATTATTAATAAGTAAAAAAATTGTGAAATTCCTATTTACAAAAGCCATACCTCTTCTATAATATCGGGTTGTTGCAACTGAAGAACTTTTGTCCTACGTCCAGATCTTGTATATTTATACTGAAAAAAATTGATGTGATTAGTGTTTATAATAAGTTTCTTTTGGTAAAGAAAAAATGGAATTAATAATACGTTCTCTTGTTGAGGTTGTGCCACGGTTGAAACTACAGATGTCGTTGTAGCAGTTGTACCTGAAATTATTAATTATTTAGTTTTGATAAAATTTTGATTTCAATTAAGTAATAAATAATTTGTACCTTGGGTTTGTGTAACAGATCCTAAAATGACTCCCATGCGAGGATCAACCACTAGCTGGATGTTTCCTGTTGAAGATCCACTTGTATTACCGATATTTAATTTAATAGCCGAATTTTTATTTTGTTGAGTCTGAAAGTAAAAAAGATATATTATTTCTACAAAGAATATATATTTTTTATCATTTTTCATTATAGTAAAATTTATATCTAAATACTTACAACATTTAAAATTTGAGGATTATTTTGAACAACTGGTGGAGTCTGTGTCGGCGTAGATGAAGGTCTATAAATTAGCATTAATAATTTACATAGTTACATCTAACATCAAATGCTTTATTTTACAAATAAATACTTACAGTGTATATTGATAGCCACTGACAACACCAGCCTGACATACCATTTTACCTCCTTCTTTAAAGATTTCTTCTAAAATAACTGCAACCTATGAGAGATATAAATATATATTTGTGTCATTACAATAAAATGATAAACAAATGAATAAACTTACTTTATCGCAATCCTCTTTGAGTTTTGTATTTGATGTTAGCTGGGCTTCACTCAGAGGTTCCTCTGTACACTCCAAATTTAATGTCATGTTGGATGGACGAGCATTTAAAACAGTTTGCGATATCCGTAGTTTTGGCATTTTGTTCAGATTCTTATTTAAAAATATAAAAATATAGAATTAAATGAAAGTCTAATTTATTTCATAAGCATCTATCAGAAAAATACATCAAGAAAAAATAAAAAAATAAGAACAAAAAATAGAGTAATTTTTTTATATCTATTCTATCAATGTAGATTAATCTT